ATCAAAACAATTCCCCTCCAGGGAACCCCATTGCTTGGACATTAATATTTTCAGCATTGCATGAATACATGCAATAACGTTTAGTCTTTGCAGTAACCTGAGTTCTATTTTAAAAATACAGACAAATAAGGTGGGAAAAGCTTCAAACACATAACAGCTACCATTACCTTAACCAACGTTTGTACTTCTTATATTATTGTCTTGCTGGCATACAGAAATTATCCACTAGTCCTTCTGAAGGACACTACTTTTCAAAATAGACCATGGAATTTTGGAAACAAAAATTCATAATACATGTCTGAATTTGAAGAGCTAACAGCTGAATCCTATAAAGTAACCCTACATTGGAAGGGGCTTGTACTGACATCACTCATTTGCTTCATAAATCCTATGCTAGCCAGCAACCACAGTTCTCTTTCAACTGTAAGAACTTGGTTACTCAGAAAATACTACTACTACTACTAATAATAATAATAATAAGGTGAGGCATGACTTCTGAATGTTGCATGTGTTCTTTTAATAGCACACTGCCAGTAAAACAAGACTGAATAAATAACTTGAGGGGAGGAAAACTTCTGTAGTTCTCATCATGAGAACGAGAAGCCATGGTAGATAACATGGTATTATAAATGAATTCATGCAATTTGCACCAAATTCATTGCAGGTATTTCTCGTTTTGAAGTGTAGAATTTTCTGCACATGGTTGGCCCTGTGTCATCCCAAGATGATAAAGTACTTCTGAAAGATTCCATCATATTTAGAAGACTTAGGTTTTAAAGTGTGACCTTTCTTTACCACATCATGAGCAAAAGTGGGGAAATGGCTAAATTAATAATCTCTGTGGGAAAAAAATGATCATTTAACAGAAAAGCAGTAGGTTGCATACTATACTTCTAAAGTGAGAATACTTTTAAAGAATAGAAAATTCGCAATAAATTCAGAATTTAAACACTATAATGGGTTCAGTCTCAGAAGAGACTATTTTTTACTTAATGGAGAAAATTATCTTTAGTTACTTAGCAAATTATTATGATTCCAAAGGGAGGATGCTAGGTAAATTACAGTGGCAATCTCCTCTTAGAAACATAAATCAACTTTAATGGAATTGTCACATCTTAAGCAGGGGAGAAATTTTTGGAAAAACTATTGTCATCAATTGTGTTTGTAGCCAGGCACCTGGAAACCCACATTCCAGTGAAACAACCTGGATTTAAAGGGTTACAACGTTACTGACTTCACTCTGTCATCAAGCCCTCAGTGCATATAGCGAAGACATTTATTGGATACAGGCTTAGGTTCAAGTACCTTTGTTTTTAGCAGCTAACTTTAGGTTCATTTCTGAGCCTTCATTTTACTTGATATAGAAAAAATGGCGGAAAGCACTTAATCTAGACATTTTGAGGTATACTTAACCAAACTCAAGTGTTTCCCATTCCCTTCAAGCTTAGAGCATGGCTGCACTTATTGTTAGCCCTCACCCTCTCTTGCCCACGCACTTGCTGCTGAACTTGGGGTCTAGCAGGCATACCGCTATAGAGGGAATGGGGACTAGATTAAGAATTGATTCTGATCCTCAGTCTGAAGCCTCTTATGCTCTTGTCCAGGGCATGCATGGGTGTGACGAACTGGGGACTGGATCACTTCTGATCCACCATGCTCTCTGAGCCACACCTGCCTCCCTGGTGAACTCTGTTGAGATGCAGCCACATGTCTCCATACTCACCATTCTTATGTGTCACCTGCCTTCTGGCCAAGTAGCCCCTCTGCAGCTCTGGGCTCCTTCAGCTGACTTACATACTCCCACCCATGGAGCCTCTCAGGGGCTACATGGGTGCCACAGGACCCTCTACAGCAAACCGACTGTGTTGCTATTCCTGCTCTGAAGTTGCTATACCCCACACTTCAGCGTGGTACCAAAGCCTTTCTGGACCTTGCTCAGCCACTGCTATAGTCTCAGAAGAGCAAAAACCTTTCTGTCAACTCTCCACTCTACCATCTTCAAGGGGTAGAGCCATTCATCCATAGTGGGGACTCCCCCAGGGACATTCCAGGACTCAGGTATTGGATCCCTTTCTCTCCAAACTACATCTCCCCACCAACTTGAAGGCTCTGTTTGGTCTCTTAGGAGAAATCAAATTGTTTCCTGCTTCTTCTAAATCTCTTTCAAATATATCCCAACTTTTACCTGAACCTGTGCCTTCAAGCCTTAAACGCTTAGCTCTTACTGCTTTCTTTTTTGTCCCATTCTAACATTACCTTGTGGAGCCAAATAATAGCCTCGGTCTCCCCCCAGGAAGAAGCATATACAAGGAGGACTATAGCATTTGCCATCTCAAAGTATTGTATTATCACTTACAAACACAAGTGACCCATTCCAGACAAAAACAAGAAATTTCAGTTACACTTCTGAATCGGGACAGGCTGTTCTCAAGACTGGACTGAACTGTCCACCAGCTCTATTCATAGTACTCTTTAACTCAGGAGTTCAGAGGAGCACCAAATGGATCACTGGAAACCAAAAATAATACAATGAAGATCAAGGGTAGCTGGTTAGTTTATAAGGAATTCTATCAATGACGAGTGAAGAAGTTTGTAATATATACTGTCTTCTGAGAGGCAGAAGAGAATAAAGTCGGCACACTGACTCTGAGGTGATACTTAAAACCTCGTTGAGCATTTGTGGACTGGATGGCCTGGCTTTTCCTCCCTTTTCTCATCTGTAGAAGAACAGTGGTACCTGCCACATAATAGTTGAAATGAGGAGTGATTTAAAGCATATGAAGAAGTTAGAACAGTGCCTGGTTTCAAGGTTAGGTAAATGTTAACTGGGATGTTTTGAGGCATTGTGACTCTCTTGAGGTCCTCACTGGGGGAAGCACTTTGCCAAGAACATGTTGATTCTGGTTTCTGGGCTGTTCTTCTCCTGGGCCAAGTCCTCCTCCTTGTCCTCTTCGTCCTCCTCTTTCTTTTCCTCTTCTTCCTCTTTCTCCTCTCTCTTTTCCTCCTCCTCTATTTCATCTTTGTCATCCACTTCCTGCTTCTCCTCTTCCCCTTCCTGCTCTCTTCCTTCTCTTTCTTCTCCTCCTTTGGAATCATTGAGTATCCTGTCTTGAGCTCATGGTCTAGTCTTCTCAAACGTATCCTGGTCTGTGCCTGACTCAGCCTCCCCTCCTCCTGATCCAACACGCTACCCTTTGTCCCTTTGCAAATCATCAAGGTTCGGTCCCAGGATGTCCACCCCAGTCACTGTGGGTTATGTACACTTTTCTCAGTGGTTTGCCTGTTTTTATGCCAGAGATACTCCTACTGTAGTTTCAGTTAAAACTCTTGACAGCCCATCCCTTTCTAGCACCATATGGCCTGGTGTGCTCCCCAAAGCAGCTCACTTCTCTTTTAGAAGAACTGTGTGTGAGCCTCATGCTTCTATGCTACTTGCACCTATGAACCATTCCCCATTTCCAAAATACCTTCATCTGTGTCATACCTTCTGCTCTTTTAAAGCTCTGCTAGGTGACACAGGTGGGTTACTAATCCTACTCCAGCACTGGTAGTCTGGTACTTTCAGAGCATTACAACCACCCATCTTTGGAGGTCAAACTTGCAACACCTTTTGAATGCAATATAAGTGATTTACGACATGCTGTGATATTATTGGAAATCTTTCATAAACACACAGGAAACACAAAGTTTCCAAATAAGAGTTATTTTCTCTGCCTCAATATTTTAAGTATCAAATCCCTTTTCTGGCTATCCCTGTCACATAGAACATATCATTGTTGATCATTTTCTCATATAAAATATGTGTATGTATGACTCATCCACCTTGGGGGGAGGGGCCTTGAGAGCTGGGTTTTGTTGCTGTCAAATCTGAAGAACTCTCATTATTCTCCAAACATCAAGTCATCTTTCATCCAACATGGAGAGATAGAATGCTGTACTGCTTCCAGGAAGGATAAAGTCATGTCCATCCCTTCTTGGCTCATTTCGGATATGGGAATTCTCTTTTGTGTGCGTGTGTGTTGAAGCATGGAAGGCAAGGGCAAGGTAGTATCTGGGAGGTTGAGCCTAGAAGACTGGATGAGAGGGAATTAGATGACAGCAAGTGTGGGAGGGGGAGTAGTGTCAGCAGCATAAAAAGAAGCAGATATGCAGAAACAGGACCCGGCTTCAGATGACTCCTATAGTCAGGGTATTTAACCTCATTGTGTCTTAATTTCCTTATCAATAAAATAATGGTGGCTGACCTCCCTAAGCTTTGGGAAATTAGAAGAGATCACAAATATATAAGCCAGTAGCATGGGACCTGGAAGGAAGCGATTCTGTGGAAGAGGTCATCTGTAGGGCTTATGTCTAAGTTGCCTTTGTTGTCACTGCAGTGTCTCAGAACGTCAAGAATACCTCCCCAGTGTTGCGATTTATTGTTGATGTTCTCCTTGCAATGGGTCCATGTTGACCCCCCATTCTGATTTCCATCTTCTTCCTTCCTAGCCTCCCTCCTTAGTTTTAGAGAACAGCCCATTCATGAGTGGGCTGAACAGGTTTCCAGTATGTTCTGGATGGGTTGCTGGGATCCAGAAGGACACTAGTGATAGAGTAAGCAGATGTGTCCTGAGGAGACCATCTTAGCATGTGGGGCAAATGCACGAACAGAAGTGGACATGTGATATTGGGAGAAGGTGCTTCCTCTGGGAAGTGATATGAGATCCAGACATGCATTTCACCTTCGCAGCTTCCAAACTGCGCTTTTCCACATCTAAGTCTCCTGGCCATCCGTGACTTTGTTCCCTGACAGTGGGACCGTAAAATAGTTCCCTGCAACCAAGAGATGCCTCAGTGAGTTTTATCTGCTTGTCCATCCAAAAGCTTCCTGAGTTTGAGTCACAAAAGGGGACAGAAGAAAAGCGTGTGTTATTGGATGATGGTGATAAACTGTGTGAATGTGACTTCTAACATAGGATGGGATGAAGTTGTTTGTTTTTTTAATCTCATATTTCATGCAGGGCTGGGCTGAGGATGTGGCAGGCATGGCGTATGCCCTACGTTCACTGCCAGAGGGGGCTCCCTGCCTGCCACAGGTGAGAGCCAGCTCTGGGGTGCCTGCCCCCACGGGGGAGGGGGGTGGAGAGGGCCTGGTGGGAGGGGTGGGGAAGGACCAGTCCTCAGGAGGACTCTCCCTCAGAATCCAAAACCTCATTCCGTGAATGTAACTTTGGACCAGAAATGTAATTGCAACAAATTAATCCCTTATATTTGTCAATTTTTATATTGCACACTCTTCTCTGGGACACTACAGAGCAGAATAAAGCCTAGAAAGAAAGTATATATGCACATGCCTGAAAAAACAGGGCATGCGTGCTCCTGGATCTGAATGCATTATCTGTTGTTTTTTATATGAAGCAACCCAAAACAAATCGTGTGTCTTACTTTATAAATAAGACTTCAAATTATGGTCCTGAACAGAATAATTTTTGTCTGAATTTTTTCAAAAATAACTTATACTTTTCACTCTTGGTTGTCAATATCGTATGTACCTCTCCTCAACCCTGTATTTTTCTAGCTTACTCTTTAATGACAACTGATCTGTGTGTCCCACCACCAAATTCAGAGCACTTTAAAGAAGTCCCTCAGGCTTGACCCATCCCACTTTATACTTTTTGGTGCTTCTTATTTTATTCCTTTTAATTTCAGTGACCAGCCCTGCCTGTCCCAAACCTCCATATCTAAAGTACCAAAAAAAAAAAAAAAATTGTCACAAGAGAAACGAAGTGTGGTTCATGGATTTACCCTAAAACCTTTATCATAAACTGAATGCAAAAAAATGAATTTAAGACGTTTAAATGCATGTCTAACATGTTCAACCCGTTCTACAACTAGGTCTTGATAATTCAACCTTTTTGGCTCCTGTAAACAGCTGTCTGACAACCGTCAGATATTTGCTTATAGGGTTTTTCCACCTCTGTTCCTAATGTCTTTGCCTTCCCTCTTTTGGCAGTGGTCAGTATATATCCGAGCCGCTGTCCGAAAAGAGAAAGGCCTGCCCATTCTTGTGGAGCTGCTCCGAATAGACAACGACCGTGTAGTGTGTGCAGTAGCCACGGCACTCCGGAACATGGCCTTGGATGTCAGAAATAAGGAACTCATCGGTATGTGCACTGATTCACAGCATCCCAGTTTGTCAATGAAAACGTTTTCTCACAGGTGTGTGTGACGGAGTCCATGTGCAGAGCACATGAGTAAGCAGAAACTGCATTTATTGGAACCCTCGTGTTTCCCAGCTCTTCTTCTGCCCTCAATCCAGATCAGCATTGACCCATCTTTTAGAAATTAGAGGAAAACGCAGTTTGTTGCCATTTCTAATCCTTGCAAAATAAAAATGATCCCATTGCTCAGCAATTAATCCTACTGTCCCAACCTTCTGAATCAGTCATGAGGTGAACTGAGAAATTCTAATAGGATAGATGTTCTTTTTCTTTTCTTCTCTTTTAATTTTGAATGAGACCATACTGATTCCTTAACCCTATTTTTAAAAAAATCACCTCCCCGAGAAATACCAAGGGTCTTTTATTAGTAAAGCATTAAAGAGATTAATATATTTGTGTATGTATCCAGCAAATATTTATCCATAATTTGCTTTGTTTGGGCCTCTTCTAGGTCCAGAGAAATTTTTTTTTCAGTGAGAAACAGACAGCCTTGCTCTTGTAGAGTTTATATTTGGGAGAAGGGAGAGATATAATATATAAAACAAACAGGTCATAGGATGTGTTTTAAGGGTTCTATGGTGGGAAATGAAGCTGGGCAAAGGAGGCTGTGATGGTGAGGTTGCAATTGTTTTCAATTGAGGCAAAATTCACATAACATAAAGTTAACCATTCTAAAGTGTATGAATTCATTTAGTATATTCCTAATGCTATCTAACCACCACCTCTAAATGACAAAAGAGTTTCATCACCCCAAAGGAAACCTCATACCTATCAAGAAGTCCCCTTCTGTCTCCTTCCTCCTAACATCTGGCAGCTACCAAGCTGCCTTCAAGCCTATGGAGTCCCCTGCTATGGACATGTCATATACAGGAAATCATACAATGTATGAGAATTTGAGTCTAGCTTCTTTGCCTTAGCATAAGGATTGTGGTTTTATTTATTATCTTAATCACATATCAATAAACTATAATTGTATATATTTGTGAGTTACTATGTTACATGTGTATTCAATGTAGAATAATTAAACTAATCTAATTAATATATCTATGACCCCAAATATTTATCTTTTTGTTGTTATTGTTGTTGTTATTGTTGTTTTTGAGACAAGTCTCACTAGATAGCTCAGGCTGGCCTAAAACTGGCTATGTAGTATGGACTGGTCTTGAATTCAATATCCTCCTGCCTCAGCCTCCTGAGTGTTAGAGATAGGCCTGGGCCATCACACCCAGCTCAATTCTTACCACTTTTTGTGGCAAAAACATTTGAAACTTTACGCTCAGCAATCTTGAAATATAAAATGCATTCTTATTAACTACAGTCATCCACCTATGCAATGAATCCCAAAAAACTTATTCTTCTTATCTACTATAAACTTGCCCCTTTCAACCAACATCGTCCTTTCCTCCCAACCCCTAGCTTCTAGTAACCATCATTCAACCTTCTATTTCTAAGAGTTCATTTGTCTTATATTTTACATATAAGTGAGGTCATGGAGTATTTGTCCTTTTGTGACTGGCTAATTTCACTTAGCATAATGTCTTCAAATTTCATTCTTCTTGTCACAAATGACATAATCTCCTTCCAGTTTTAGTATAAATAGTGTTCCATTTTGTATCACATTTTTTCATCCATTTATCCTTTGATAGATGCTTGAGTTGATTCCATGTCTTGGATATTGTGAATAATGCTACAATTAATATAGGACAGCACATATATATTCAAAATACTGATTTCAGATCCTTTGAGAATATACCCAAAAGTGGGATTGCTGGCTCGTACAGAAGTTCTATTTTGGATTCTCCATACAGTTTTCCATAATGGCTGAACTAATTT